AAACTGTTTTTATGTTTACCAAAACTTGATCACGTAATCAACTAATGCAAAAGGCCTATGTACATAAATTATTACTGGGCTTTTCACAAACATGCGAACTCTAAAGTTCAAAAGCTGACTTCACAATTGTGTTTTTCGCTGCCGTCAATCATAATTACGATCACAAGCAACGAACCTTGAAACACAGAAACACACAAAACGGATCGAAATCCACCAATCACAAATCACAAAACTTGACCTTTTGAACCCGTTACAGTAAAGTTTTGTTTCCTAAGAGGTCCGTTAAGATGATTGACGGCAGCGAAAAACGCAATCGTCAGTTGGCTTTTGAACTTCAGAATTCGCATGTTTGTGAAAAGCGCAGTAAATCATCTAAAAAACTTGCTTTTAGTTTATTATTTAACTTTTTAAACATACTTTTGAATTTTTAGTTTGATGTTAATCAATTCACATGAAGATTTAATTAAGTATGTTTCTTTATCTTAACAACACTGTTTTAAGGGATCATACCAGGCATGATTTACATTACATTTTTACATGAAAGATGGGTTTTTTGTCAGGCCTGACACCCTTACCAAGTCTCAACAATTTTCATCAAGCTTTATAATATACATACTGTAATGGCCCTTGGTGATGTAGAAGCTTGCTCCAGATCCTCCTTGTTGTCATGGTAACCAACTATGTGGTGGTTATTTTAAACCAGTCCTTTCCCTGCTCATAATCATCTTTCCTTTAACCTCCACGCCTTTCTCCCTCTGTGAAGTCAAATCCCTTCTAATTACTGACCATGCTAGGTTATCAAGGGTTATTTGAGAGTTCTTAAAGGAGGTGAAGGTAAAAGATGGAATAAGAGAAAACGCAACTCCCCCCCTAAAGATTCAAAGCCTCATAGCCTCAGTAGTATCATATCATAGTCTCATACCATAGTCTCACAGTCTCATGGTCTCACAGCCTGACAACCTCTCAGCCTCACAACCTCCTAACCTTACAGCTTCACACAACATCACAGCCTCACAATGCAAACTCACAGCCTGTCGGTCTCACAGCCTGAAAACCTCTCAGCCTCACAACTTCACAGCCTCACAACCTCACACCCTTACAGCCTCGCAACCCCACAGCCTCACATCCTTCCAGACGTAGTTAATCAATAAAAATCAATACCAGAAATAAATCAATATGATTGATATTACTCCATTTAATCCGCTGATTAATATCGATTGATATCAGAAGTCGATAGAAATCGAAGTCACAGAAAAAATAATTTATCGATTATTATCGATTAACAAAATCGATAACAATTGATAGAAATTGACAGTAATTGATAACAATTTAAAATATATCAATAAAAAATGACTATCGATTTCTAATTGATATTAATCAAAGTCACAACTTTTGTTCTTTATCTATTTCTATTGATTGATATCAGAAATTGATATCTAGAGATGATTGATATTGATTACTATTGATTATCAGTTTATCAATTACCTACGTCTGACATCCTTACAGCCTGACAACCGATTATCAGTTTATCAATTACCTACGTCTGACATCCTTACAGCCTGACAACCGATTATCAGTTTATCAATTACCTACGTCTGACATCCTTACAGCCTCACAACCTCAAGGCCTCACTACCTAAGGGACTTGTTAGAAATTAGCAGGGGGGGGGGGGGGGAATTTTAAAGTTGGGTTCGGAAATGAGGTGACCCATCCCTGCAATGGGAGTGAAATTTGCTAACCCTTCCCTTGACTTTGGCCTAAAATATCATGACCCTCCCCCTCTTGTATAAATGATAAAATCTAGTTCTTGCAATACACTATGGTGAGTCAGTATTATGAAAGTTCAAAATATATTTCTAATCTGCTCTTTATAATGCCATATACATACATTTTAGATGACAGCATTAAGAGTCCGACTCGATTCTGACAGCTGATCACTTGACTCTCCTATTTCTCCCAGGTTTTTTTTTATAAAATAAAGAACTCCTTTTTTCTTCTGTTGGTGAGCCTCTACATGGTCACGGACACATATTTGCATTACCCTCCCCCTTTTAACGGCCCATTTTTCATGACCCCTCCCTTCTCTGCGGTCTCAAAAAGTTGTGACCATCCCTCTGTTTCCACCCCCTCCCCCACTGCTAATTTCTGACAAGTCCCTAATGTCACAGCTTTACAGCCTCACAACCTCTCAAACTCACAGCCTCACTGCTCATAGCAAACTATTGCCTTGCTTATTCCATGATAAGTAGTAAATGTATAAAACAGTATGCATGTTAATACAAAATACGTAACTTAAGCTTATTAAGAAGCTGTGAAAGGAAACAAAGAAACAAAGATCCATCAGGATCATCCTGTGAGAAACAATTCCTAGGCCTCACCTTTTTCTCACATATATGATTTCAATTTATTATTCTTGGGTTGCACGTGACGTCACCAAAAATCAAACTAAGAAACTATCGATTCTTCTGAGTTTCTACTTTCATGAGGTATTACAGTACCTAAACACCTTTACATAAACAAATTTTTGGTTCGAAAGGGTTCTTCGTTTTGCGAGAGAGGACGCTTGAATTTCCAGGCTTTTGTTTGACGCGGCATTAGCTGGCGGCCGGGAAAGCTCTTATGTGGGTTAAAAACATTACCGATTTTGGGAGATTTTGCAATCTAAACATTCCTTGTCTCAGAATAAATATTACTGTAGTCTTTATGAGTTCCTCAAGCGAAGAATTCATGCATTAGTAGGAAAACTCGAAAACAGATGTTTCTGTTGGTATCCGGCGGCCATATTGGTGTTCCTGAAAGGAACACCAACATGGCGTTTCCATACAAAGCTTTATAAATTTAGGTAAACCGTTTTTCCCAATATCTCGCATTTGAAATATTTCACAGACTTGATTCTTGGCAAGGGTTTTTGTATATTTATCTTTTTTCATTTCCCAGATTCTAGTCCTTCTGTATTGAATGGTTTGCATTTTTATTTTTCATTGCGTGACAGTGCAAGCCGAGAATTGCTCTCCAGTCCATTTCTTGGAAAAAATACAGGCCACATGAGTGAAGAGAAGATTTCACATGCACCAAAGCCAAAAGGTTTTTTTTGCCATTAGAAATCACACCAGTCAAGTCCTCGAGCTCTCATATATCGACTGCGCACCTGAATATTTGAAGTGCAACGGAAATTTCACACTTTCTCTGATTGGCTCAAATTAAGGCGTATCACGTGATATGTTGTCATGAATTGCAGCCAACAACAAACAAAAAATATGGCGGAGGAGTCGTCGAAATATCAACAAAATAGTCGCCTAGAAAGAATAGTACAATCGTTTGATGCTCTTTTGCAGTGTATTAGTGGCAGAAGGAAAACTTGCCATTGTTGTTGCAGGCGTGGAAAAGACCAACAATGAGTACGATGAAATGAACGAGTGGTTTATGACACGCAGTGAAATGACGAGCTGTGATATTGAAATACTGCTATGAGGATTTTAATTCTAAATCGTAGTAAGACTTCTTAACCACTAAACTAAGTTCCAAAAGTGTACAAATTTTGGTCATTTCGGCTACTGTAAAGCGACATTTTTAAATTTGATCCAAAATGTTTAAAATAAGAACTTGCGTTTATCTTGAAATGAGAATCCATTCCTTGTTTTTAAATTTTGATTTAAGAACGATGATACGTGCTCTTAAATTAAGATGGTAGAAACTTAAATCCAAAACAACCCCCTTAAAATAAGTTCAGTTTTCTTAAAATAAGAAATAAGGCGTCATTAAATTAAGCACGAGTGTCTCCTTAATTGAAAAATACAGGTTTTAGAGTGTATTTTCAATCATTATAAGTTTAAACTAAGTTGAACTCAAATTTTTCTACCTTCAAACTCTTTTCTTTATTACTTTCTGCACACTATCATTAATTGTTATGTTTATTTTGCTTTATATGCAGTAATAATAATTTCTTTATATGTTGTAATAGTTTGCCTTTTCTCTGTAAATCTTGTAATTATTAATTTTTATTCTCATTGTAACTTAGCAGCACATTGTAACTCTCTGACCTACGCCATATAAGCTTCTGGCTTTGGCATCTTATTATCGTTAACTTGTGCTTTGTGTACTTATTTATCAATAAAGAATGTTGTTACTTCGCCTAAAGTGCCGTGTTAAAGCTTAAAAATATAACACTCAAGTCTTGTTTTCGTTAGACCGCATTTCGTTCCAGTTTTTGTACATAAAAGGTAGACGCATAATTATTTCTTTACTAAAGTAATGGAACAATTTACTTTGTAGCCAAAGAGTAATAAACAAATCTGACATATACGTTAGGCGTCTAAGTTATTTATATGTGTATTTAGCAAAACATGTTGTGAACTGATGTAAATTGTGTAGTGTAGAGAGGTTTGAGCACTTAACCTTCTCAGTTGGTAAAACCGACTTTGCATGTTTCACTTCGCCTTTGACGCTGAGCACTTCAATTTCTTGATAAACCAACCAAGAATATTATTAATATGTGTGAAGTATATTTGAAGTATACTCCAAGTATACTTTTGGGAAGTACACCCACAGTACACTTCTTGTGAAGTATATATATACTTCAAGTATACTTTTTAAGTGACCAAAAGTTGTGTACTTGAAGTATACTTTTGGAAAGTATACTTAAAGTATACTTTAAGTACAAATGAAGTATACTTTTTTAAGGATATAAAAGTATACTTACAGTATACTGAATTCCTACAAGGGATGCACAGAATGCCCTTCGATCATGTGTATTTGGACCTTCTATCACATAATCTGATCACGCGTGTTTTGATCATCTGTCAGGTGAAACTTACTCAATGCACAACGCTGGATCAAAAGTGTTTTGACCTCCAATCGTTATCGCCCGCACTTCATAACCTTTGGGTATTACTAGTTGATTAAACTATTTTTTTTGTTTAATTGTTAAAAAGTTTTCCAACGTGGTGATCTTATAAATTATTATATTTACACTTTTAAGGGAAATCTTTAACTGAGACTCAATGGGGCAGCACCAAAACCTCAAAAGAAAAAGAGGCGCTGATCCTGACCATCAGACAGCAAGAGAACATGATGCTCAGCCACCTCCTCTGAGTATTGAAGTGCCTAAAATGAGAGATCTTCCAAACAAGTCAAAACCTTGGAGTGATGTCCAGCTCCCTGTTGACATTCTCTTGTTGACGGTGAAAGACTGTGAGTTCTTGGCATGTTATACATACTTGAAAAATGCCTTCAAAAGTTATCTTTTGAACCTTGGACATGTGTACTTTGGGACAATGGGTGAAAGTGGAGAGGAATCACTGAAAGTTGCTTTGATGAGATGTTCTAAAGGTTCTTCTGGTCCAAGTGGTTCTTTAGTTACCATCAAAAATGCAGTGGTGCAACTGGGACCCAAAGCTGTGTTTTTTGTTGGCTGCTGCACTGGTTTTAACCAGAAAGGCACCAACTTAGGAGATGTGGTTGTATCCTCTACACTAACAACTGATGAATTCACAACCCCTGTAAGAAGAAATATTGCCAACCTGATCAGATTTTCAACTGAAGGATGGAATCCACCATTAAAAGATCCATCAGCTGGAGAACAAGTACAAGTACACCGTGACACCGGCATATTGAGTGGCGTTAATGAGCCAGCCATTGCCAAACAACACCGTAGTTCCGAGTCTCATATGATTGCTTCTGAAAGGGAAGGGGAAGGTAAGATTTTGTATAAATCACTGATTTTATAACTGACAGTTACAATTTTAGGTATATTATGCAGTGTCTGGAGATTGAGTTTTACTAAGTTGCACGTCCAGCTAAAGCCTAACCCTGGTATCACAGTTCGTCATTGGTAACCACATATTTCAACGTACACTATTTACATGTAGCAGAGTTGCAATTATTGTGACCACGTGTGACCATGGTGTGTGACATAAAATGGGCTGTGTTTGATATACAGAATCTGAAAGAATTAATAACAATAGATAACAACAGATGTTGGACGGACTATGACAATGGATCAAGAACAGAACATTATGAATAAAAATGTAGATTAAAAACAGTGGATTCCATTATATGAAAGTCTACCCCATGAAGTTCTAGATCATATGTATTTCCACACTGCCAACCATGTCTTCGTGACCGTGGGGTTGTTATCATGTCTACAAATTACGAAAAGTTCAGGTATTACTATAGTGAACCAAGTGTAATGGCTAAGCATTAATTTCCATGTTGAGTTAAATTTCTGCTTTGTGTTTATCAGGTTCAACCACACACCTGAAAAATCTCATTTTGCGTGGTCTCTATTTTTTCTTTCCATTTGTAGGACTGTTTGCTGCAGCCCATGATTTGAACCTTGAATGGGTGATTGTTAAAGGGATATCTCATTTTTCTAATGATAGTAACACTCCTGATGAATCCTGGAAGTCATTTGCATCCATCATGGCAGCTTCTCTTGTATCTAACATGTTAAATGATCCAGTTGTTTTTAATGAGTGGCCTCACTATGAAAGTATGTATCCTCCTTTTTCTGTTTGTCTATTAATAGTGATAATTTTCTGCTCAGATATATTTATGTATCTCTAGAAAAAAGGTTGCAGTTTTATTGAAAAATATAAGGTACTTGGACTACCACAAATTTCTACAATAGACGCTGTTAATATAGTTCTTCAACACTGCTACGGCCTCCACTTCCCCTTCAGTCTCTGAGAGTAAGTTAAAGTTGACTGTGAGGGTAGCAATGAGAGTTACCTGCTTAACAATATCTGAGATATCTAAATTTTTCTGAGAATAATCGTTCAAATCCCCTGATCTTAGTGCCTGAAAAACTGCTCAAGGACAAAAAAAATGCACCATGTTATTGACTGACAAGCAGATAAATTCTTAATGTTGACAAAGTCTGTTTTGCTTACAAAAAGTAAAGAACAGGACAGTTGAACTCAATTTTTTTCTTTGCAGATGTGTCAGCAAACAAGGATTCCCGAACCTTACCAGGTATTTCTCTGTCCTAGTAAAGTTTTTAGGAATGCTATAGCAAACTGAAGTATTTATTTGTTAATAGGCTGATTTAGCTACAGAACGGGAACGTCAGTGGACGACGGCTTGCACAAATCAAACAACTGGCTTGACCAATGGCTGAGCGGCAAATTGGGCACCGGAAGTTGTCTTTAGTCCTTACCGCGCACTTTCCCTTCGTCAAATGATGTTCCCATTCTGTTGCTAAATCAGCCTACTAAATCAAACAACTTGACTCCAATCTTTCTTGCATTTCAAATCTAATCCCTCCACCCCCGCCCCCACCCCCCACCCCCCTCTTTAAGCAGTAGGTAAATCCATTGTGTAGTTCCGGAAAATATCCACATCTTCCCATGGAAGGGGTTCTTTCTAAGAGCTCCCCCCGCCCCTTCTGAAAAATCTTTTGACACCAGGAATTTCCAATTCCTTCTGTGGAGGAAGCACCCTGTAACTAAGAACTTGATCAGCCTGAGCCCTGAAATCGCAGGATCTTATAATTATGCAGGTTTTTGCTGTATCAGAGTCTATGGCAGTAAGTTCTACTTCACGCTTGCTACTGCACGGTATTTAGATTTTGTCTTCCATTACATTTTTCATTGCTGAAAGGAATCCCCTTATGAGATTATAAAATCCTCCCTTGACATCTTTGTAAATTACCTGTCTTCTCTACAACTGTGGTATACATGCGTATGGTCATTCTTAACTTTGAAATATCTTGTAATTTGTATTAAGATGGAATCCATTACTTTAGGGGCTGTTCAGATCAAAGCCGCAAAGACTACAACTTGTCATGAGCAAGAGTAAATACATATTAATTATAGTACTAAGTTTAGCATGCAAATCAGTAATCAGTAGTACTTTCGATGGTACAAAATGATCGTTCGTGCAATGGTTTGTGGTGACAGCCGTGAATAATGTAAAACCAATTTCTAGCTAAACTATTTGGTTGGGGGGTCACTTTCACAATAATGTGTCAAATTTGTGGGGGTCATTTTCCAAAAATAAGAATGAAGTGGGGGGTCGGTTTGAAAATCTTCTAAGCTTTCTCAAAATGGCGGCCCCCTTCCCCCCTCCCCCCACCCTTCACAGGTGATAAACAATCAGCCCCTTAGCAAATTGAGCAATTTTAATTTCAGTGGACAAACACCTTGTACCAGAATAATAATTTCAAAAATATTACATTCTTTTTTGCACTTTTTGAGGGCTATAAAATGTAATAAGTTATATGAAAGAACTCCAAAGAAAAGGTTCTTATGCAAGTCTGAGAAAACAAACTTCAAAAACTTCACAAAATGGTCTTTGCGAGCTTGCTAGTACTGCGTTTTTTTTGCGAGCACGAGCAGAGATAAAAAATTTGTTTTGCGACCAGCGAGCACTTCTTATATTTTCCGTTTGCAGCAATCCATATGGAAATCCTTTTCTTTAAAATAAAACAGAAAATATAGACGATGTGATACTCATCGCTAAGTTCAAAGAGATCAGTGGACCCTTTATTTTAAGAAAGCTTGCACAAAACCTTAAGAGAACTTTGTCTAAAGTAAAAACACACCTGTACGCAAGAGATCCCGAAGATTGTCTAATATTCAATTACGAGTTCACACCACTCAGGTAGAGAAACATCTTGTGATTGGGACAGTTTGGGAAGTGCAGTTCACAGACGAACAATTTCATATCGATTTAAACCAAGAGCTCTATGAAGAATGTCTCGAGCGTACAAGGGGGGTTGAAGAAAGGGACATGACTGACGTGGATGAAGAAGAACTTGAAGAGGAACAAGATCCTCATGTCAGAACAACCTCTTCTGGAAGAATCCTAAAGCTTCCAAATCGTTTTTATTGAAAACATGACCTAATTAAAGCCTAGCGAGTAGAGCGGTAGAGAAACTCAGAAGAACTCAAGGTAACAATATCTTCTCTTTTTAACCATATACCTTTAGCTACAATCCTAGCCAAAATGGTCTGGAACACTTCTCGTACCCCCTCCTTTTTTTGCTAGGAAATTGGCAAGTGACCATCAATTTACAGTTGTCAATACGCCCATGCCTCGATTTCCCCCTCCCCCGTGAACAAAGTTGAAGTTCATACACTTAAAAAGACTTCTGAAACGTTTTTGGCCAGTAACACTCAACACTGTCCAGGGGTGGGGGGGATGATTGGAGAATGCTCAGATCATGCGTAAATGACCAAGTGTCCCAGACGTTTTGTCCAGGATTGTAGATTGGCTAATTTATTATTTATCGTTGTCATTTATCACGTGCATTTCCACTGAACTTGATAGCCATATTTATAGGAATTAAGCAACATACAGAATTACATTTACTTTAATCCAAAGAAGGATCCACAAAATCTCAAGCAATACTGACAAGAAAGCGAGCATGCGAGCAACTGCAAAAATTTTGGGAACAAGAGCAAGCGAGCACTCGTTTAAATTTTGCGAGCAAATCGAGCAAAGGTAAAATTTTGCGAGCAGTTAAAAAGTTTAATGGACCATTCATTACCCCTTTGATTTTCTCAGACCCCCTAAGAATCTTTTCTTTGGAGTTATTTTATATAACTTATTACATTTATAGGTCTTGAAAAGTGTATAAAAGAATATTTTTTGCGATATGACTTAATATATTCTGGTACAAGGTTTTTGTCCACTGCAAGTTAAAATTACCCAATTTCCTAATGGATTCCATCTTAATTTCCTTGGTCTATTTTTTTGGCAAAATTTAAGTTCTCTTATGCATCAAAGGTTAAAAAATAATCTGTGGTTATGTTTGGCCCATATCGTCAGCCTTCTCACATTGTAAGATAAAAGGTTCTTATAGTTTTCCTTTCCTCATTTTCATTTTTAAGAAATGTTTTGTTACACAATGATCTATCGTTAGTTACCGTATTTATTCGATTAACCGCCCTGGGCGCTTATTAAATTTTTGGACCTTGAGAGTGGGCGCTTATTCGAGGTGGGCGCTTATTCGAGGCTGGGCGCTTATTAAATTTTCACCATTTTCAGCAAGTGAACTATGTTTATTTTGCAACAAAACAATAAATGCTAATAACAAAACGCGAAGAAGTAACAAAGCAAGCTTTCTGTAAAATACTCTGAAGAAAACTCCGACCTCGGGGAAGTCTCTTATTAGAATTTATTCACTCAAGTGGGTGGGATGGGGGTGAGCGCTTATTTGAGTTTGATTGGGAGGAAGAGGGAGTGGGCGCCTATTCAAGGCTGGGCGCTTATTAACTTTTTCTACCTTTAGGATGGGCGCTTATTCGAGGTGGGCGCTAATTCGAGGTTGGGCGCTTATTCGAATAAATACGGTAAATGGTTCTTCACTGATGCCTGCTCTTCAAAGTGATGAAACCCTAGGGCTTGCATTTTTTTAGAAAAGTATTTTTTGTTATCTGAACATATTTGCAAGGTGGATGCTTTCTATTATCCCTGTCTTAGATTTAGTTTCATAACAAAGAAATTATTTACAACTTCCAAAGCAATACTTGTTAACAGATTCTGTATGAGTCAAACTTGTTCCATGGGAACAATCCTCTGCTGTTGATATTAACAAGATCTACACAGACTTGTCTTGGGTCATGGATCACAGGACACCCAGGGTAGTGAGTAAAGAAGAACTTACCCACTACACTGAGATTTTTGTCCACAGAGAGCTTCATCCTGCACCAAAGCGAATTATGGTTTATGGTCAGCCAGGTAAGTGAGGAAGTAAAGTAAACTAGCATGCAGGGTCTTAATTAAATGAAGAGTGACCACATGATAGCTGCCAAATTAAGCTAACAAATGAGTGGCCCTCATTACACAAAAACAGGAAAAAACCGGTTTACCAGGGGTCAATTTAATAAAACTTTTACAAGTGTAATTTACAAGTGTAGCTATGTAAATTACACTTGTAAAAGTTTTATTAAATTGACCCCAGCATAATAAATCCATACAGGATGTTGGAGAACACAGTCTGTATTAAGCTTGTGTCATGTATAGGATTTTTGAGTGTTTTCCCAAAATCTCAATTCTAGTGGGTTAATTTATTATTGTTGCCAAAACCAGTGGAAAGTTTTTTCTTTTGTTTTAGTGAATAAATAATAATAATAATAATTTAATTCTTATATTGCGCGCTTTCCATGAAAAGATCAAGCGCACATTACATGATTTCTATCTATAATAACTTAATAAAGGGTATGTAACTACTAATTATTTAAAATATACTATGATAAAATTAAAATAAAATAATACGTTGGCGCGAATCCATGGATGGCCTTAAAAACAAATAGGAGAATCTTAAAGCTAATGCGTTGCCTAACCGGTAGCCAGTGCAGCTCGTACAGCAACGGCGTTATGCGACAGTAGCGTGGCGCGCGACAGACTAGTCTTGCTGCGGCATTTAAAACGCGCTGAACCTTATTCAGGTGAGAAGCTGGCAAGCCATATAAAAGACTATTACAATAATCTATGCGCGAGGTAACAAACGCATGTACGAGGGCTTTAGTGGTATCTGTACTTAAAAACCTACG